GCTGTTGCAGGATTCTCGCACAGAGAGTCGTGACACCAAGGCTTTTCTTTCCAGGAAGCAACTTTATTCGTGCTGGCACTGCTCAGTTGGGTTTGTACCCAAAGAACTGAGTGGCCCACATCACATGGCATAGTTTTTTTTATATACATTTCTATTTCTTTGTCCCATATATGGTAACACACATAAACATGCAGTCTGATTAAGTTGTCTCAGTTTACAAGAACATGGGGGATAAAGGCACCTGGGCGCATATCTAGGTGACCTTGAAGTCTTCTCTCCTCTCTTCTTCATTTTTTTTTCTCTCCTTAGGGAGGGGTTCCTACCACAGAGCCCCTTCATGCTGGCTCATAGGTCTGTTTGACATGTTCCCAACATTCTTGAGCAAGTCTTTGCTTTCTGGTTTACAAAGATGTTTGGGGGTGCCTGGGTGGATGTCAGTTAAGTGTCCAACTTTGGCTCAGTCATGATCTCACGGTTTGTGGGTTCAAGCCCTATGTCACGCACTGTGTTGACAGCTCAGAGCCTGGAGCCCACTTCTGATTCTGTGTCTCTTTCTCTCACTGCCTCTCTCTCAAGTAAGTAAACATTTAAAAAAATTTTTTTAAAGATGTTTTGGGCTCATCTTGTATGTTCCCTGCTCTAAGCCTAGAATCTCCCATTTTGCTATAGAACACTGGCTTCTTTTAGGGGAAATGGTATTTCTGGATGCTATGTGTGCTCATTGCTATTAGGACTTTGGTCTTCCAGGCTCCTTGGATAGCAAAAGGAAACACACACACACACACACACACACATACACACATGCACACACACACTCCCTCCCTCTCTGTCTGTCTGTCTGTCTAACTATCCATCTTTCCATTTTTTTTCTTCCAAAGTTTATTTATTTTAAGAGAGAGTGAGGGAGTGGGTGAGAGGCAGAGAGAGTATCTCAAGCAGGCTCCGTGGGTCAGCACAGAGCCCAGTGTGGGGCTTGAACTCACAAACTGTGAGATCAGAGCCAAAATCAAGAGTCACACACTTAACCAACTGAGTCACCCAGGCTCCCCCACATTTAGTTTTCTGAGAGAAGTAAGCCCTAATATCTGAAGCACCCCAAATATAATATGCATTAATTCTCTATTTAGCATAATGCTGCTGATTGTATACCATCCGGGATAAACTGGAATAGTCACTCAAATCATCTTCTCCTCTTCTGTCATTCAACTGAGGAACCCTGTTTGAGAAAACCTGAATTTTAGTATTATTGGATGATCATGTCAGCAACTTACTCTCAAATGGTTTTGGTTAAAAAAAAAAAAAAGGAAGTCTGAGATTGTTTTCAGGTTAAAAAGAAGGAAAATGCTATACATTCTTAATCTAAGGAACAGCCCAGGGACTTTCTACGATTGTGCTAAAATAAGTACTAACCTCTTGTAGCCATAAGGATGAGAGACCCAAAAAGCAGACCCAAAGTCTGAGCAGTAATTTGATAAAATTCCAGTATCAGTTGAATTCATTGGCTTACCATTTCCTAGGTGTAAGTTAAGGCAGTGATGAGAGAACAGGATTCTCACGCGTTCGGTGAGGTTTACAGTACTCCTAACCACACTCAGCCTGGTATGTCTGAGGAGTCACGTGATGCCGGAAGACCCAGACTCTGGAGCCAGTTCACAAAAGGAGGCCAATCCCACTGGTACTGGCTCTCCGGCTCCCTCTGGAACTGTGGCTCTCAACTTTGGTTGAACATTGGAACCACCTGGGGAATCTCAAAACTTACTGTATCTCGTGATTGCATGCCCGGAAAATTTACTTTTTTGGTCTGGAGTGCAATTTACTTTGGGTCTTAGCAGCTCCCAAAGAGATTCTAACTTGTGGCCATGACTGAGAACTATATACTGAACTAGAGATCAAACCCGGCGTGTCCTAAAGTCAGATTACAACTAAAACCCAGGAGCACCCTTACACACAAAAAGAATAGCGAGATTAAGCTAACTCACACCAGCGACATACATTAGTTGCAATTCTTCTGCATGGAAGATTTGTCCCTTCCTTCCCATGTATTTATTTTTCCAATCATTTATATCAGTATGACTCGTGGATATTTATTTTATATTTTGGGTTACAATCCAGTGCTATTCATATCACTCAGATCGCTCCAGTTTTAGCCATCAGGAGCACTTTCAGTTGGCTTCTGTGTCCCTTGGACACCCCCACATTGGTGGGGTTTTGTTTGTTTTTCAGTACTTCCTTTCTGGCACAAGGAGATACTCCAGGCTTGCTGTCACCAGCTAGACCCCAAGATCTGACCTATACTGCCCATCTGCTTGTACTCACTGACCTTTGTCCCATATCTTCTCTTAAACTCTTCTTTCCGGCTTACCTATGAGCCACAGCGACTGCCCTGACCAGAGCTCCAGCCAACCCAGACTACCCAGACCAATTTGAACTTAACCCTTGTTGCATACCTGTGCAGATGGACCATAGAGGTACCTGCAGAATAACTGACAACTACCTTTATCTCATTACAATACTAAAATCTCTGCCCAAGGAGGAACATTTACATAACATGCAATGTGTATGGGCATGTTTCCTTAACGCGCATGTGCAACCCCTATGCCTGCCTCTGCATCCTATGACAAGGCTTCCCTATCTAATTTTTTTTTTTTACATTTATTTATTTTTGAGAGAGAGAGAGAGAGAGAGAGAGCACAAGTGAGAGAGGGCCAGAGAGAGAAGGAGACAACAAATCTGAGCAGGTTCCAGGCTCCGAGCTTTCAGCACAGAGCCTGATGCGGGGCTTGAACTCACAAACTGAGATCATGACCTGAGCCAAAGTCGGACGCTCAGTCGACTGAGCCACCCAAGTGCCCCAAGACTTCCCTATCTAAATATTCATCCTAACCCTAAATAAAAGGAACTTACCCACCCTTGCTCAGGGAGTCTCAGCTTTGGAAGCCATTCCCTGTGATCTTCTTATTTGCTGCAAGCAAAAATTTTCTGGGGCACCTGGGTGCCTCAGTCAGTTGAGCGTCCACTGTTGGCTCAGGTTATGAGCTTGTGCTTTGGGAGTTTTAGCTCCGTGTTGGGCTCTGTGCTGTCAGAGTGGAGCCCACGTCAGATCCTCTCTCCCTCTCTTTCTCTGCCCCTCCCTCCTCCCTCTCTGTCTCAAAAATAAGTAAACATTAAAAAAAAAATTTTAATGTTTGTTTATTTTTGAGACAGAGAGAGAGATAGATTGTGAGCAGACAAGGGGCAGAGAGAGAGGGAGACACAGAATCCAAAGCAGGGTCCATGCTCTGAGCTGTCAGCACAGAACCCGACTTGGGGCTTGAACTTACAAACCAGGAGATCATGACCTGAGCCGAAGTCAGAAGCCCAACCAACTGAGCCACCCAAGCGCCCCTAAATAAATATTTTACAGAAAGTTTTCTTTGTGCGACAACTCAAACGGGTACAATTTCTGACTCACCCAGCAATGAACTCACATTGGTTCAGTTGCACAGTCTTACACATTTCTTGCACCAGTCCTGGAATCAGCCATTTCTCCATGAGTTCCTGGTTCCTTTAATTGCAGAATGGTATTTGAAACCAAGGTCTGAGAGCTAGATATAATTTTTATATCCTGCTCACTAAGAAGAAGAAGAAGAAGAAGAAGAAGAAGAAGAAGAAGAAGAAGAAGAAGAAGAAGAAGAAAGAAAGAAAAGAAAAAGAAAGCCAAATTTAAAAACACCTGTTAGAGTCCCCAGGCCCAACCACCCCAGATTGGCCAGTGCCCAACTTTGGAATCCTGTCCCTTTCCTGGCTGTCCTTTGAGAGTCAGGGTGGGAGGCTGTCCTGACTATCACCTGTTTGGTGGCCTTCCTTTAGATGGGTACCGGCCTAGCTCTGGTGAGCCCTGATAAAAGTAACAAATGATAGTGGAGTAAATGCCCCAAGAAAGGAAAGGAAAGATTCACAGAGGAAGGAGAAACTAATGCAGTTGGGAGAGCAGCTCAGGAAGTGCTGAGAGCAGACACTGGGGCTGACATCTTCTAGACCCCACACTCCTTACACTGCTAACGCTCTACCTGCTGCCTGGCCCGCAGTAGTCCTCTGTCAACACGTGTTTGTGGTTCTACTACACTGAGCTCAGAGCAGCCCACAGAATATCAGCAGAGACCTCAGTTGGGGATACCCCCAAATAGTTCTCCAGCCATGCTGCTTCTTGTAGGCAAAAGAATCCTGCAGAGTTTCTGATGCTTATGAATTTATTCTGGGTGGCTCAGTCAGTCAAGCATCCAACTCTTGATTTTGGCTCAGGTTGTGATCTCATGGTTTATGAGTTTGAGCTCCACATCAGGCTCTGTGCTGACAGTGCAGAGACTGCTTGGTATTCTGTCTCCCTCTCTCTTTGCCTCACCCCTGCTTGCTAGCGCGCTCTCTCTCTCTCTCTCAAATAAAAATAAACTTAAGAAGGGGGGATGCCTGAGTGGTTCAGTTGGTTAAGTGTCTGACTTTTGATCTTGGCTCAGGTCATGATCTCATGGTTCTTGAGTTCCAGCCCTGCATCAGGCTCCACGCTGACAGTTGGAGCCTGTTTGGGATTCTCTCTCTTCCTCTCTCTCTCTCTCCCTCAAATGAATAAACTTAAAAAAAGAAAAAAGGAATTTATTCTGTGTGCTTTCTGGAGATTTCTGAACCATCTTTGTGGCACCAAAGCAGCATTTGGGAGATTATCTTGGAGGTGAAGTCATCAAATGGGTCCTAGGCTCTTCAAATGTTTATCAGTAGGCCATATGCTTGGAGTATAATTGCCAAGATACATCTTGGCAGATAGAGATAAAGGAGGCTTCCAAAGGAATTTCTATATGTTTAAAGTAGACTCATAGGATTCTGGGGGGTCAGGCTAAGATTGCCCTTTGCCCTTAGCAAAGTGTCAACATGGAGGCAACTGATTTCCTGGAGGAAGGTCACTCTATTTCAAGAACTTGTCAACTGGCTGTAAGTAGTAAGCAAATTTATTTTTCTTTTGCCTTTGTTTTCCCATATCACAGATTACTAAAAAAAATAAACTTAAAAAAAAGAATTTATTCTGTGTGTCTTCTGGCGATTTCTGAACCATCTTAGGCACTTGGGAGATTATCTTGGAGATGAAGTCATCAAATGGGTCCTAAAGTCACCAGTGCAACGTGATAAACTCTGAGAGTGGGCTGGACTACAGGGGTGGAGAGGGGACACAGAAGAGGGAAGTCAATGCCCTGTCCCAGGCAGTGTCAGTCATGGGGACTGAGACAAAGCCAATGAAGACAAAGGCTAGGAGACAGCAGGCTCCAGGTAGAAGGTTCAACCAATTCTGTAGCAGTTGAGGGGTGATGACCCTTGGCTTGGGGGGAGAGTGTGGGGAAAGAACTTCAAGTGGGGGCACTCGTGTAGGCAGCTGCCTGTTACACAAAAACACCGAAGCTGCATGGCCCAGATACCTGCTAGAGAATAACAAGTAAGCCAGCTTGGCAGGAGAAAGGAGGATTAAGCAGGTTAAGTGGAGCCTGGAAAGGTTCTGGAACAGGATTCTTAAACCTGGGCCTGGACAAATTTTACCGCCTGGAGCCTAAAGCGAGGTACAAAATGGGGAGATCACGTGTATTTTTCAGGGCACCGAATTAACAGAGCACATCCATTCCTCAAAGTTTGAGACTACTGTGGAGTCTGCAATGTCAGGAGACCCACAGTTTCTGGGCAGAGCGAGATAAAGCTCAAAAGCTGGCTGGGATTGGACCTTGCAATTTATCAACAGAGCCTGAAGTCTCGAGGCCACTAACTCAGAGCTACCTCCTAAAACCCTTTTGGGAGGGGGAGGGGAGTCTGGTATAAATTGCCCTTGTTTTAGCAAAACTGGCACCTCATTCCCTTTCCATAATCCCAGAGGTCCTCTGGGAAGTATCTGATTCCGGAGGAGAGGATGCACAGCCTGAGGTGAGTATGGGAGACCCTGCATGCAAATATTCATTCTCTGGAGGAGACCCAGGACCCTGTCCCGAGGGAAGCCGAGGCATGGGGAAGCCAAGGGTGCACAGCTAATTATAAGTGTAACCTCAATTTCATGGAGTTCTGTTAGGGGTCGCCAAGGGGTTTGAGGGCGGAGAAGCCGCCGGGCCCCGAGGCAGTTGTGTACAACAGCTTCAGCGGGACGGAGGATGCAACGCTTAAGTGACCGCTGGAGACGTGAGTGCCGCAGAGACGTCCAGGAAACGTGCACCTGGTTGTAAAGGCCGCGACAGCGCGAAGCGTGCCTGAATGGGCATGGCAGCTCGCGACGCGCCACCAGGCGGCCTTGGACGCCTAGGGCCAGCTCCCGGCCGCGGGTTCGCACGCACAGTTCCTTCCTGGAGCTTCAGAGGCCGCACCCCGATGGGACTCAGCGGGCAGGAGGAACGAAGGTGGAGGTGGACGGGCCAACCCTGCTGCTGCTGCACGGTGCGTCCCTCAACCGCTTGCGAGCACCAGGAGGGACAGCAGAGCGGGGGCGCTGCGGCGAAAGCGTCCCCGACGTGTTCTCCGGACCCGTGCAGCTCCTGGACGGGCCTTGGCTCTTCACACCACATCCGCTCCCGGGGCCGCGGCCGGACAGCCGGGCTTAGTCCCCCCAGGCCATCGATCAGTCTCGGAAATGCCCGCGAGGTCATCCGCACAACAAAGGCAGCTCCGAGCGGCGCCTTCTGTCTTGTAAATATCGGCTCCCGCCCCCAGGCAAAGCGGAGTCCGCGGCACCAGCAACCATTGGCACCCGCCCCCACTCCGCTCCCCTCCCCCACAACTCCGGAGCGCTTTCATTTGAAATGTTAATTTTTTGAAGCTTCCTTCTCGGCCCGGATCTGTCTCTTTGAAAGCCGGCTGAAACCTCTGGGGTTAATAAACAAACCGGCATTTGGTTTGGGTGGGAACCGGGTAAACATTTGTAGGTCTAAAAGAGAGAGGCAGGTGTGCGTAGACAAACGCGGGTAAATTATTACACAGCCCCGGCCGCTCGCTTTAAAAAGGCTGCTTTGTGCACCGATACCAGGATTTGGAGTTTTCCCAATCAAGAGACCCTTATTTGCAAGCTCCGGGCTGAGGACCCCGGCGGCGCTGCCTTCCGCCCCCTCCTGGCGCAGAGGAATCCAGGTCACAGGTAGAGAACCCGCCGAGTTGCCCTCGGGCGGAGCCGAGCCCAGGCCCCGCCCAGGTGCTCGTAGGCTGGAACCCGGCCTGCGGCTCCTCCGCCAAGCCGCCGCTAGGGTTCCGGTGTCCTCGGGTAGCCCTGACCACCGCCAGGTTGGGTGCCTCTGGCCGGGCGGGCTGAGCCTAACACGCTCGGCTACTGCGGCGGCAGAGGACACCAAAGGGTGTCACAGCGGGTGCTTTTCAAAAGCCTTGGCGTGAGTTTCCCGGTCCACATTCGATAGTTTGTCAGGGTTAATGCCAAAATCTTATCAAGTCGGGTTCCTCGCCCTGCCCAGCTGCTAGCGTCGATAATGGTGCCCGCGGTCACTTTGGGAGGAGCGCCGACTCTTTGCTATGCAGCGTTCGAAGTCCTGCACACGCAGTAACCTGGGATGAGATGACACAAGCCATCAACTTGATTCTGCCTAGAATGGGGACATCACGTACTCTCTACTTGTCCTTGCAGGGAGAGAGCAAATTGGGGCATGTGCCCCTGCTAGATATGGGGTCCCAATTGTGCAGGTTATGACTCCACTTGCCCAGGAATCATGTGTGCTGGGGAGAAGCTGTGGAGGTGACCAGGGCACCACTGTGGTCCTGGAATGCAGCCAGGTCCCCACAATTCCCCAACTTCAGAGTTATTTAATCCACTAAATCCTCCCAGGCACAGCCTGGTCTTCCAAAAGCCTCAAGCTGGGAAAATCCAATAAAGGAATGATCATTTTTCAACCCTGGGAGCCAGTAACACTCATACATAATGAAGCAAGTCACACAAAGGAAAGAATTCTTTCCCATTCTCCTGGGATAGGCCGCTCAGCCCAGGGAATCTTCAGAGCTGCCCAAGTGAGCCAGGCTGGGGGGTATACAGAGAGGTGGGGGTTCCCTGAGGAGCTCTCCTACCCACCCAAAGGCTGGAGATGTCACTTGAAGAAATGCCAGCCCAGGTTATTCATAAGCATTTCTTACAGATGGCAGTTCCTGCATTTTCTCTGCCTCAAGTGCCAGTTGTGGATTCCCTGGATCAGCCGAGTGACAGAGAGAAGGGAGGAAGAACAGCTTATGGTAGAGGATCCCTGACACCCATCCTAGTAATAACATCTGGATGCTGTCAGAGGACACAATGGACAGGGTGGGAAGAGACTGTATGTCATCTGGTTAAGACAAGGTGCTTTGCCCTCATATTGGTAAATAAGCCTGGCCTTGTAGACACCCATCCGCCCTTCTTCCCTCAGTGTTCACAGATACATTATCTCCCTGGCTTGTTATACCTTCCCGCAGGCACAAGTCCATTCTGACTCCAACCTGGTCTCTTCCTCTAAACACCTCTGAGGTCTCAACCATATCCTTACTCCTCCAGGGCGCATGGACCTCTGGCTGGAAAGGACATTAAAAGAACAGGGTTCCTCTACCTGGTGTGATGTTAACGACCCAGGGTAGCGTATGCTTTATGCCCATGACCCTTGGAGAAAAACAGATACCTGTCAAGTAGCTGAGTGATCTTGAGTAAGTCATTTATCCTCGCTCAGTATACCTTAAATTTCCCTTTGGCAAAGTGGTCAGAAATTAGAACATTCCTGGGGCGCATGGGTGGCTTAGTCGGTTAAGCGTCCGACTTTTGCTTAGGTCATGATCTCGCGGTTCATGGGTTCGAGCCCCGCGTCGGGCTCTGTGCTGACTGCCAGCTCAGAGCCTGGAGCCTGTTTCAGTCTGTGACTCCCTCTCTCTCTGACCCTCCCCTGCTCACGCTGTCTCTCTCTCTCTCCTAGAAATAAATAAAACATAAAAAAAGAAATTAAAAAAAAAGAAATTAGAACATTCCTGAAAAGGAGGAGATGTAGGGAGATCTGCATCGTAAACAGTACCTGAAAGCCTGCTCACCTGTGTTTCACTGTTCTCCTGAGGCCCCACTATATGGTGGTAGAGAGGGAAATACCACTACCACACTGTCCTCTGCTCTGGAAGTAAAATACCTGAAACTCAATCACCCCGGTATCCTGGCTTGGGTGAGCAACAGTCAGGGGCAGATTGGCTTTCAGAGCAGGTGACAGCCCAGTGGCCTGTCTCCTATCACCAGAGGCAGGCAGTTAGCTAACACCACCTTGCTGCTGGGATGGATCTTGCTCCCAGCACGGTATCCCACTGACTCCTGCCCGGGAGATGAGCCCAAGCAGATCTTCAATGACATTAAATAGCCTTCTTCTGCTTCCGCTGTTTCCATCTCAAGGAGATTAATCCCCAGCCTGCCTGTGGCCATCAGACTTTTTTTCAACATTTCCATATCCATTTTCCAAGCTTAGAAAGAGGCACAAAGCTCCAATATGACCAAACCTTCATATGCATTTTTCTGTATCAACTTTTAATTTAGAATTTATAGAAACAAGGAATAGAGGATGTTTGACTTATATGGGAGGGTGTATAACTCATTGGGTTCTGCAAATGGACAGGAAGGACTTTCCAGGCCGAAGGGGCTACAAGGGTCGGGCAGTGGGTTAACTTATTCTAGTAGGTGATGGGAAGTCACCGAACTTGTTTTAAAACAGGAAAGTGGTTAAATTTATATTTTTAATCCTTTTGGTGGCTGTGCAAGGATGAATTCATTTTTAAGTTTATTTATTTGAGAGAGATCAAAAGCAGGGGAGGGGCAGACAGAGAGGGGGAGAGAAAGAGAATCCCAAGCAGGCGGAGCCCGACATGGGGCTAGAACTCATAAACGGTGACATCATGACCTGACCTGAAACCAAGTCTTGGACAGTTAACCGACTTAGCCACCCAGGTGCCCTGAGTGAATTCATTAAAAAAAACATTTTTTTTTTTTTTTTTTTTACAGTTTTAGGTTCACATGAAAATTGAGGCTATAGTAGAGCTCCCATATACTTCTGTCCCTGCCCTCATAGTTTACTGTCTTGAATTAGTGTGGTATATTTTCTACAATCAATGAACCAATATGATGCATTAACTAGTCCATACTTGACATTAGGTTCAGTCTTTGCCTTGTCCACTTCTATGGGTTTTGACAAATGCATAATAGCATGTACCCACAATTCCAGTATCATACAAAATCATTTTATTGCCCCCCAAATTCCACTGCACTTCACCTATTCAGTGTTCCCAGCTTTCTCACCGTAAATCCTTGGCAACCACCAACCGCTACAGTGTTGTCTTTTCCAGAACATCATATGGTACATGGACTTTTCAGACTGGCTCCTGTTAGTAATATGTATTTAAGGTTCTTACATGTCATTTTGTGGCTTAATATCTCCTTTCAGTAAGCCTTTAGCAAATATTTGTCTTCAATAAATATTTACTGAACTTCTGTATCAGTACTGATAGAAATATAAAACAGGTCACAAATTTCTTTTTTCTTTCTTTTTAAAATTTTTTTTAAAATGTTTTTTATTTCTGAGAGACAGCATGAGCAGGGGAGGGTCAGAGAGGGAGACACAGAATCTGAAACAGGCTCCAGGCTCTGAGCTGTCAGCACAGAGCCTGACATGGCGGCTCAAACCCACGAACCGTGCGCTCATGACCTGAGCAGAAGTAGGACATTTAACCAACTGAACCACCCAGGCACCCCTCAAATTTCTTTTTTCTAGTAGTCACTTTAACAAAGGTAAAATGAGGGGTACCTGGGTGGCTCAGTTGGTTAAGTGCCCAGCTTTGGCTTGGGCCGTGATCTCGCTGCCGTTCATGGGTTTGAGCCCAATGTAAGGGCTCTCTGCTATCAGTGCAAAGCCTGTTTCTGATCCTTTGTCCCCCTCTTTCTTTGCCCCTCCTCCTCTCAAAAATAAACATTAAAAAAGGTAAAAAGAAACTGATGTAATTTTTAGTAAGATGTTCTACTTAATATATTTAAAATATCATTTCAACATTTAATCACTGTAGAAATTATTCAGATACTTTATATCCTTTTGTTTTTTGGTCCTAAGCCTTTGAAATCCAGTGCGTATTTTATATTTTCAGCACATCTTAACTTGGATTGGCCACATTTACAGCATTCACTGAACACACGCAGTGGGACATAGCAGTACTATGCTGGGTGCACAGGATAGAGCAGGGGACAAAATGAACAAGGTCTCTCTCCTCACGTAGTTGGCAATCTAGTATGGGAGACAGAGAACAAAAAAGTAAACAAATCATTTTGGAGAGTGATGCGTTGCTGAGAAAGTAATACAGTGGTATTATGGACTGGGAGGCTGATTTGGTTTGCTTGGATAGTCAGGAAAGCTTTTCTGAGGGTGAGAACCAAATGAGGAGGCATTAACCATCAATTCTGTTGCCACAATAATGCTGTGTAACAAACCACTCCAACATGCAGATGTTTAACATAGAACTATTTATTACTGGTCATGAGTCTACGGTCAGCCGGGCAGTCTGCCCTGGGTGGGCTCACAGACGCATCTGTGGGCAGCCTCAGGTCAGGTAGGTGGTTATGCTAATCCTGGCTTGGCTTGCATGCTTGGGGTCTGCTGGCTGTTGACTGGCATGGATGACCTCAGCTCTTTTCCATGTGGCTTCACATCCCTTAGCAGGCTAGCCCAGGCCTGTTCTTACGGCGGAGGCAGGGATCCAAGGGAGAATGTGGGTGCGTTCAAGTTTCCTTAAGACTTAAGCTCAGACCTCTATCACTTCTGCCGTGTTCTTTGGGCCAACCCAAGTTACCAGGCCAGCCCGGATTCTGGGAGGAGCTGCAAAGTCACATTACAAAAGGTGTATGTACCGGGAAGGATGGAAAATTCAGGAGATGTTGATTAATCTCCCATATTACTGAAAAGGCTTTCAATTCCACCAGGAAGTTATAAAAAAATTCTAAATTTGTATGTGCCCAATAAAATATCCTCAAAGTATAAAAACAAGAAAAACGACAGGGAAAGGGGAGATAGAGTTCTGGGCTGGCAGGGTGAGGGATTTAACCTAAATAGCACGTTGGGGTAGGCACTACTGAGACACCTGAGTGGAGGCCTTAAAGAGGTGAAGGAGTGAGTCATGTGCTTATCTCCAGGACTAGTGGAGGGAACAGCAAGCAGAGAGGCCCTAAGCAGGAGCAGGTCTGGCAGGTTCTAGTAGTACAGAGCAGGCCTGGTAAGATGGAAAGGGATTAGTAGTCCTGGGCCAGCTCGCTCGTGGCTTTACAGGCCACAGGATGGGTTCTGGATTTTAGTCTTGGTGATAGGAAGCCCCAGGAGGGTTTTGGTTGGAGGAGGAGGAATATCATAGAAAATTAGGGGTGAGGACCCTGGGGAGTCCATGGCTGTTTGGAGACAAGGGTCAGGCAGCCAGTCAGACCTTTAGAGGTTGCTGGGTACTAATCCCTGTCAGGCAACATGTCCCCAGGGAATTTTCCTTGCTTTGCTTTTCAACTACCAAGACAGCAGTTTATTCCCCAAAGGATGTCACCATCTCAGGAGAACATATTCCAATTATATTGGAAAACAAGGTGATTGTGATTATAATAGTATTCATCTTCTCAGTTCTCAGAATGAAAACCTATCCAAAGCAAGAACAAAAGGCAGGTCCAGAAAGCACTCCTCTCCCCCTTGGGAAAACCCAATTATTTATGGAGCTACAGGTTTTCGACACTGTCAGTTTCAAGTCACTTTCAAGACACAATCTTACATGAAAGCAAATGGGGGGGGAATTAAACAAATATTTATTGAGCACCTACTATGTGCTAGACACTCTTCTATGTGCAAGGGATATAGCAGAAAAAGAGACAAAGCTCTCTTCCTTCATAGGGAAGACAAATATATAACAAACACAAAAACAGGACATATATTAGATGAGATAAATGCCCTGAAGAAAAAGAAAGTAGAAATAGCATCTGGGAGTAGGGTGTGACAATTTAAAATAGGTTGGGGCGCCTGGGTGGCTCAGTTGGTCAAGTGTCTGACTCTTGACTTTGGCTTAGGTCACGATCTCATGGTTTGTGACTTTGAATCCTGCTTTGGGCTCTGTGCCAACGGCGAGGAGCCTGCTTGGGATTCTGTCTTTCTGTCAAAAATAAACATTAAAAATAAACAAAACAGGCTGGTCCATGGGATATTGATTGAAAAGTTTTTTTCCATAGTGGGCAGAACAGAAGGTTTGGGGAGTGTCAGGGAGGTAGGGGCAGGGCCTGGCCCCCATTTTGTAGGGCACTGTGACACACTCGCAACATGCAAATGTATGATTTATAACTTTATTCCCCATCCTAAAACAAGGAAAAACTTCCTGTAACCGGTCTGGTAATTTCTGACTTCAAGTTCTCTAAACTGAATTCTGTAAGCTGTGATACATCTTACATTAACGGAAACAGATTACACAGCTCTACTTAGCAGCCCCGGTTCTGACAGTTCCCACATCTGCAGCAAAGACCCAATAACGGCACAACCGATTCTTCTATTAGTTTTCTTTGCAGGATTTTCTTTTTTGTCTGAGGGAAAGTAGGAGTCCACCTACGTGGATGGAGCTCAAGGTGGTGGAGATTCTGCCCTCTTCCGGGCAGCAGACAGGAGGGCAGCCTGTAGCATCAAAGGGTATAAGCTGGGGCACCTGGGTGGCTCAGTTGGTTGAGCATCTGACTTCGGCTCAGGTCATGATTTCACAGTTGGTGGGTTGGAGGCCCGCGTCGGGCTCTGT